GCTGGGGATGTGGTGTGCGGAGGGGTCCCTGTGTCACGGGGAGGTCGGGGATGCAGCCTCCTCTGCTGGGAGCTTTCCCATGCCCTGATCCCAGGGATGGGCTGCTCCGCGCTCCCACCGAGCCCCAGCCCCAAACACCTCGCTGTAATGGCGGTGAGCCGTGACCTTCATCCCTTGGGGACGAAGAGTCACGGGCTCCGTAGCAAGTCCCCATCCCGCCTGCACGTGCCTGGCCCTGCCGTCTACATCTTCCTCTCTCTCCCCTAGAAGAGGAGGCTGGAGAAGGAGGATGAGCTGTGAGTATGATGGAGGGAAATGTATCCACCAGCCCTGCCATGGAGCAGGGGATCCCCCACGCTGCTGGGACCCCGCACCCATAATCCCAGCCCTCCCCTTCTCTCCCAAGCAGGAACAACATCTCCCCCGAGGATCCCCTTCCCAGCAAGGTAGGAGCCAGCCAGGGTGTCCCTCTGCATCTCCCACTTACCCCATCGCAGCCAGGCATGTGGGTTAACACTCATGGATCAGGACTGGGAGCTCTTGGGGAGGGAAAGGGGCTGATGTGTGATGCTAATCGGCTGTTGAACTCAAAAATGGGGGAGAAACACAGGGTCAGGCTGTCCTGGCCGGCTGCGCCCAGTCTGGGGGCTCCCTGCGCTCAGCCATGGCCCCGTCCCCGCAGGGGCGAGGAGCTGGCCGGGGTAGGAAGGCAGCGGCGAAGAAGTAGCAGGAGTTGCGGTGGAGTCCGGCCAGGTACGGGGCAGCGGGATGGGGTAGCCGGGTGCGAGGGTCCCTACGGGACTGGGAAGGGGCCTGTGCATGCCCCCCGTCTCATGGCTGAGTGGGGCTGGGGAGGACCTGGCCCCAAAGCAGGGTCAGCCTGGGATGCCTGTGTGTAAGACCCTTTCTCCTTCCCTTCAGGTGCAGAAGAGCTGGGAAAGCTGCTGGTTTGGTGTTGTCCTTCCCCAATAAAGGATATTTTGCACTCCTGGCTCTCTGTGCTGGAGATGGAGGGGTTGGGGCGGGTGGTGTGGGAGCATCCTCCATCCCTGCCGGGGGATGCTCCTGCCTCCCCCAAGGGCTGCGAGGAGCCTTGTGCCCGCTGCCCTGGCTCTGGCATCCTGCCTACCTTGGCAGCATCCTTCCCCTGGGGTTGGGGGGGGCCCGGCAGCAGCCCCCCTCCCCGCCGTCCCGCGCAGGGTAACAAGTGTTGCGTGTGAATAGGAGACAAAGGGGGATTACCGAGCAGCAGGGAGATGATTATAACCCATTGACCTGGCCTTGGTCTGGAGGCAGCAGGTATTTGTGGAGGGTCCGGCGCCCCTCAGGAGCGCGCGGGGGACTGCTGTGTCTCAGATTGGCTCCGAGAGGACCCTGCCACAAAGGCAGGCTTTAGTCTGCTCCAGGTGTGGGGCAGGAGGGCTGAGCCCCTGGGGGATGCCAGGGTTGGGGAGGGGGGGGAACCTGGGGCCGGGTCAGTCCCTGCCTGCAGGGAGCAGGGTGCCCCATTTGGGATGCAAGGATGGGGCTGGGGGGTCAGGGGCTGCCCTCGCAGGGCACAGTCCCCAGAGGCTCTCGCCTGCGAGGGCCACACGCAGACGGCTTTGACAGGCAGTCCTGAGCCTTTAGCCTTTCCTCGCCCTGCAGGGGCTGCTTGCACAGCCCTCCCCACCCCACCGGTGTGTTGACGGTGGGACCCTCCTCCCTGGGACCCTCTGCCCCAAACCGGGGAGGGGACACACCAGGAGTGATGACGGCTCCATGGCCATCAATCATCCCCTGCAGCTGGAGGGGCCGAGGCACAGCCCTGCCCTGTGGTCGTGAGGGATGCTGAGCCCCGGGGATGGGAGGGTGGTGTTTGCACATCCCCATGGGGATTGGGGTGGAAGGGGACCCCTGAGCTGGGGGATGCCATGATTGTGGTTATTGGGGGCTGCAAACTGTGTTTTGGGCTGAATTCCTGGCCCAGGAGGTGAGAAGACATCAGGGGAGGTCTAATTTGGGTCGTTAGCACTGAATCAGGCCCCCCACCCTCCCGCAGATGGGGGTGTGGGTACCCTGCTGATCTCCATCATACCTTTCCTGTGGGGCCTGATACCCCCCCCTCCCCCCTTGTGCTGCTGGGGAAACTGAGGCACGAGCATGGAGGCAAGTGGTTTCTGTAGAAAACCCCTCATCCCCTGTGCTGTCCCCTTTGGGAGACCCCACGGGGGTGTTTTGCCCCCCGGGGCGTTACCCCAGGCTATTTATAAGGCACTTAGCACCTTCCTGGCCAAGCAAACGGAGCATGGAGCGATGCACAGCCTCCTGATGGGGAGGTGATACCTGATGGGGCTGGGAGCGGGCAGGGGAAAGGGGGGAGCTGTCTACGGGTGGGGGGGGCTGCGACAGGGCCCC